ACCCAAAGCGAAGTTCAAGATGCTCGGATAGGTGTGAGAAACATTCGTGGAGATGCCAGCTGAGGGAGTGCCGCCGAGGTGAGTGTGCACGCAGGCGCTGCCTGATGAGCCACATCGGCACGATCAGGAGTCACTTAGGAGAACCTGACGAGGAGCAGATCGAACAGATGGTTGAGGTCAGTGCCGAGTTGCACGAGCACGACCAGTGGAGCCCAAAGACGATACACTACGATTACTACACTGGAGAACCCCTGGACGAGGATCTGTATCAGAAGGATCGCGACGACGAGCTTCAGGCCATGAAGGACTACGGAGTCTACGTGGAGGTGGCGACGTCGACGGCGACCGACGGCGAGCATATCGGAGGCTTCCCCATAGCCCATCAGAAGGAAGGCAGAGTCAGGTGGAGGTTCGTTGCGACGGAGATCAACAAGCACGAGGTGCGCGACGACAACCACCAAGGCACGCCGCCGCTCATGATTGTAAAGGCGACGCTAAGCCGTGCCGCATCGAGCCCTACTTCGACGGGAGAGCACATGTGGATGACCCAGGTCTGGGACGTCAGGAAGGCCTTCTTCAACGCCGACCTCGATGAGACGATCTACGTTCATCCTGGACGCGAGCTGTGCCCTCCTGGAAGGTGATGGTGGCTGCGGAAGGCCATGAACGGCACCAGGAAGGCTTCGCAGATGTGGGGAGAGCTGGTGCGGACTACCATGGATGACGGCCACTGGGAATGCTTGACGGCGACACCTAACGTGTTCTACTTGCCAGCGAGCCCCAACGTCCCTACAGCAGACGAGGACAGTACAGCGATCTGCCACGGAGATGACTTTCTGGCCGAAGGCTACGACGAGCAGCTGGACGAGCTGGACGAGTTGCTGAAACAGCAGTTCGAAGTCACAGCGAGTGCCAAACTTGGTCCTGGAAGACCTGGGCGGACGAACTACCTCAAGAGGATCACCGGGTATACCGACAAGCTGCCAGGCTCAGAGGATCCAGGTTTCTTCTGGACAGCGGATCCTGAGCACGTGGATTCCATGATTCAGTGGACACAGAAGCGAACGTGCAAGCCAGCTCCTACTCCAGGGACGAAAGCAACAGGACACGGACGACGTGACAGCTTAGACCTTCTGTCCAAGGATCGAGCTCGGGAAGTTGCAGGTGTAGCAGGCACGGCACTCTACCTCTCTTCGGACAGGCCCGACACGATGTGCGCCAGCAAGACCGCGATGCAGCACGTTTCAAACCCCACTGTTCTGATGCGTGCGCGAGTTCAGCGGTTTGGACGGCACTGCGAAGGACAGCCTGTGTTGGTCTGGTGTTATCCTTTGCAGGTATCCTGAAGACATTCGTGTGGACGGAGATGCAGACTGGGCCCCTACAAGCGAATTGCAGAGACGATCCACGAGCGGAGGAGCAGTGCGGTATGGTGACCACATATGGAACTGCTACTCAGTGACGCAGAGCACTATAGCTCTAAGCTCAGGGGAATCCGAGATGCATGCTAGAGACCGTGCGACTGCCAGAGGACTCCAGTGCAAGACCTCCCTGATCCAGACCAAGAGGCCCTGCAACCTGAAGATCTACAGCGACAGCACCACGGGACGGGGCATGTGCAGCAGAGTGGGCGTGGGCAAGGTCAGGCACCTGGAACTGAAGTACTTGTGGATTCAAGAGCGGCTTGAGCTCCTGAAGGAGGACACCAACGAGATGGCGGTAGACATGCTAACCAAGTACAGCGAGTGGTCGACGATAGAGAAGCACTGCACCACTCTGAACCTCATGTTCGGGAAACAGCTCAAGGGCTTGAGCGCGATGGCAGGTTTCACGGGAGTCGTGGCTTCTGCGTCAGGCGAGAAGGTGACGGTGTACGAGGAGCCACGCCAGGCAGCGGTTTGCCCCGCACCTGTGCCCCACTACGTGGACAGCGAGGAGTTCTGGTTCATCCTGAAAACGGGTGTCTTCGTGGTGATCGCTGCGGTGTTTTTTCTCAGGCGGCGTGTGCGGTTGCTACGCGAGGAGCTACCTCAAGAAGGACCTCATCCAGGAGGCGGTTGACCCCGCTCCTGGAGACACCGACGTCTACCTGGCTACGCGGAGTGGCACGGAGGTCAAGACCACAAGTGCACAGGGACTTGGCACAGAGCCTCATCCAGCACGATACGATGGAGGAGCGAAGCAGAAGCTTTTCAACACGTGTCTCATGGTCGACTTGGCGCAGATCTTGAGAGCTAAAGGACTACACGTGAACGGTCTCAAGGACGACCGGATCATGAGGCTGATCAAGGAAGGCGACGTCCTGTCGGATCGCCAGGCCAAGGAGATCGAGCAGCTGAGAGCGACGGCTACGATGCACGGACCCCCGATCAGGATCAACCTTCACGACTTGAGTAGCCCTGAGGCCGCGCAGCAGTGGATCGAGACGTTCAAAAGCGAGTGCCGAAATCGCCCCCATGGCTCTCAGCTGATGCACCCAGAGAGCTAGACGGATGGTCGTAGAGGCTGAGCTAACGACCAGGCTGCGGCGAGTCCCGCGCATGCCCACGGCGGGTAGCCCCGCGCACGGGCTGAGGGCCTGCGGGGAGTCCCGCGGAAGGCCCGCGAAAGGCCCGCGGAAGGGACCACCAAGCTGGCACCCTGCTCACGCTTCTTGGCTGGAGGCCGAGCCACTTCCCTGCGCCCATGGAGAGGTGCTATGAAGTTTGTAGTTTGACTAATATGTATGGTTATATCAAACTATAACCAGTATGTTTGGGCGATGGCCCGAAATCCTGCAGCCTTTGTTGCTGCCCAGGAAAAAGAGCAGCCCTCCTTCCCCCTTTTCCGCGACGGGGGTAGGGGAGCGCGTGAAAACAATAAAAAGTAAGCACGCACGCGCAGTCCCCGGGGCAATTTTGCGCGCCCATTTGACGTAAGTAAAAATGAGGCGGCCGAAATAGGCGAGACGCCCACCGACTCCGCGCGCGTATTTTCCGCATCTACAAAGGATGAACAAAACATATGCGAAAAAAATCAATGAACGGGGGGGCGCCGATATTCTCTATAAAACATACATAATGAATGCACGAAAAAGAGCCCGCCCCGATCTGCGAAAACGCAAGAACAATCATTGCGAAATGACTTGTCCCCGTGGCAGCCGGCGGGGGCGAGGTAGCATGGCGCGACGCCCCTGGGGGGCCCGCGACGGAATGCGGCTGCCCCATGGCCCCCCCCCCCCCGCCCCATGCACCCTTGGGTTGAGAGCCCGGCCGCCCCCCGACGCCAGGCGGGCGGGGGGGCGGGCGGGGGCGCAGCGCCAAGCGAGGGGCGCAGCCGCGCGGCTCAGCAGATGACGTCTGCGCCGCGCCCCCCCCCCGCGGCAACGCGCCCAAAAAAGTTTCGCCGACGCGGGGCGGTGCCTCCAGGGCAATGCCCCTGCGACAAAAATGCCGCGACCCCGAAGGGGGCTCCAGCCGTCGCCCCCGATGGGGGTTCACCGAAGCCCCCGGCGGCAGCGGCCGGGCGCGGTGCTCGCAGGCCCCTCGAGCATTTGCCCCGCCGAAAGCCGCAGTGGTAGAGGCTGCGCACCCTATTTACGCACCCCTCGCACGCTTCGCGGCCGCGGCCGCACGCGGCGCCTGCATTACCCTCGCGCAGGTCGCGGCTCGACGGGGGGCCCCGCCGAAGGCTCTAGCGGCAGCGGCTGGGCGCGGTAGATTGGTGCAACTGTCACGCGTGTCGTGGCCCCGCGCCGCAGGAACCCCCGCTGAAACTTCCGACCCCGCTGGCACCGCTCGCGCGGCGGCCCTGGTTCATTTCGGCGCGCCCCTGTCGCGCACTCCTTGGCCCGCAGAAAAATTCAACCAGAAACCGTGATCAGATCTGAAGATTGGCGGGCCCTTCGCCAATAATTTGCTGGACGCGCGCAGGCGACGCCAAGCCCCGCACCGAGCCAATTCACGGCGCGCCCCCGCGGCGAGAGACCCCAAAACAGAACCACGGAAGTCGATCCCGCGCGCCGCTGCAAGACGCATGGTCGCCTTGGGCTGCCATGACCAATCGGCTTTCCCGGCAAGGCAATCGATGCGTTCCGCAAACACCGCTTGCGCTTGGAGCGTTGACACCTTATAGCACAATGTCATTGAACGTACAGATGTCGAATCTATGGCGTTGATTACCTATTTCCGTAACCTATGTTACCGCCACTATGGAATTATCCAACATACCAACACCTTCCCATAGGCCTTCATTCTAAGACTGGCCGGGGGCACCCTTACCAGAGAGCAAGGGGGAGGAAGAGAAGCAGGCCCAAAGGGAAACGACAAGACAGTGATGCAACGCTGGGAGAGCACGGTCATGCTCCGGGTGGCGCACAGACAGGCCCCCTGGTAGTCCCCGCTGGCCTCAACAGGCCCCCGGAGTAGCCCCACCTGGCCTCAGCTCCTTTAGTAGTCCAGTGTGGTCTCAACACCATAGCGCCGCCTCTGGCGGCACCCCTGGGGCGCTCCGCGCCCCTGTGCTGGGGTGTTGAGACCACCCCGGACTTGTCGGGGGACCTGTTGAGGCCAGCTGGGGCTACGGGGAGGGGCTGTCTGTGCGCAGCCCGAAGCCGTACCAAGAGAGCAAGAACGGTATCAGTGTCATGCTGGCTGGACGATCCTGTCAGCGTGTTACTGCTGAGCATGCACAAGTCCTCTGTACGTCAAGACGATTGAGTTACACGCACAGTTCGAGGGACGGCACGCAGACCACTGATTCTCTGTATGCCTCCCAGAACGCATCCCGAAGGACGCGCGGGTGGGCTGGTCGGCAAGGACACTCGTGGATTATGCCGGGACTCTTGCTTTGCCTGAACACTCGCGGTGGTGATGGAGGTCGCAAAGTGACAGAGAGAGAGAGAGACATACACAGAGACAGACAGACAGACAGAGACAGCGACAGAGACAGACCGACAGACAGACAGACCGACAGACAGAGAGAAAGGCAGGAGGAGGGAGAGTGATGAAGAAGGGGGCCTGGGAAGGAGGACGGAGATGAGGGGGAAGACCGAGAGGCCCAATGGAGGCAGGAGGACGACGACGACGACGACGACGAGCTCGTTTCTCCTCTGGGCAGGGCGCTGGACCAGGGCCCCCGCGGCGGGAGGGTCGCGGCGCGTCACTTGGCTAGGTAGTTCATCATGTACTCGTACCCGTTACCCTCCTGCGGGCGGGCGCCAATCACACACTCTGCGCCAATCTGGGACAGGCCCGCCCGGGGCCCGGGACAGGCGTGGTGTATACCAGGAAGCTGGAGGCACACGTTAGCGACAAAAAACTGGTCTTATGCGAGATTGCACAGCGACCTCACGCCGCAGCTTACGCAAGCCGCCAGCGCGGCACGCCACGTCGGCAAGGAGGGCGCCTATGCACGCCCTTGCGCGGGCAGCTTGCGTGCCAACGTCGGTGAAGACGACCACGTTTTTCTGCGCCGCCCGTGTGGCTGCACCCGCACGCGGAACACCGGGAGGCTGCGGCGCGGGACACGAGCTGCAGAGGCCTGGCCTGCACGGCCACAGAGGAGCCGCGCGCAGAAGGGCCTGTGGTCACGTGTGCAGCTGGCTCTCGCCCAGGCTGGCCGCGCGCTCTCGCATATGTCTTGACTTTGCTTTCTTCCAATCTGCCTGTACAGAAGTCCCGCCTTTCCTGTCCTTGTCTCCCGGCCCCACATGTGGCCGAACGGAGGCCCATGGAACTCGAGAGCCTGAACGGGCAGGCGTGTCTCTAGCTCGCCGGGTGCTCGCCAACGGGAGTGCAACAAAAACGTGGGGTTCAGGAACGTGCACCTTTCGCGCACCCTTTGGGCCCGAGGCAGCAGTTCAGAAGGGACGACCTTCCTGCAATTCTCGATTCCCACACGTTTATTGCCCCCCCCCGTTGCCGTCTGCCCGAATCATGGACATCCACCTTCCAGGTATAGTTTGGCGTCCCCCGATCCTCCCCGTACTCGGTGATGCACACGCAGCTGGCGCCGACCACCTTCCGCGGAAGCCCGTCCTTGTCGATGCGGCAAAGGCCAGCCCACTCGCCGAGCGACTTGTTGTCAGGCACGTCGATCAGGGGCACGTTCTTTTCAAGGCACAGCCCCTGCACCAGTTTCTTGTACGTGGCCTCATTGCAGGACTCCGCGAGGAACACCACCTGCGCCTTGCTGCCGTCGATGTGTTTGGCGACCTCGTGCAGCCCGCGGATGACGCCGTCGACCACGAGGGCGTTCTTGAGCACCTCTCGAGGGACAAGACTTGCTTGCTTTGGCAGCGCCGGCGGACGCGAGCGCGACTGCGGAGCCAGCGGGCCGCGCCAGGCGCTGGGCGCACGAAAGCGGCTGGACGAGGGGAGACGGCCGCGGAAGAGGAGGGAAGGAGGCCCGAGCCCACGGAAGAGGAGGAGCCGCCGAGAGCCGACGGGGAGAACGCGCGCGGGCGGCTAGAGGAACAACTGTTGGCTAGTGTGGGCACCGGCAGTAAGTTGCAGCAGCCCCCGCAGTTGCGGAGAAGAGCCAGGGGGCGGCGGGGACGTCAGGAGTTTGCAGGAGTCTGAAGAAGCCCGCCGCGGGCGCCTCATTTTCACGAATCATAGAACGAGCACGCTGCAGGCGCTGTTTGTTTCGTGAAAGCAATGTGCCATGTAGGTGGGACGCGGATGGGTCGCAGGTGGGTCGCGGGTGGGTCGCGGGTGGGTCACGGGCGGGTCACGGGGTGGGTCGCGGGTCGGGTCGCGGGTGGGTCGCGGGTAGGTCGCGGGCGGGTCGCGGGTGGGTCGCGGGTGGGTCGCAGGGTGGGTCGCGGGGGGGGGGACGACGACAACAACAGCGCGACAACTACAACTACAACGACAACGCCAACAACAACAACAACAACGGCAACAACAACAACAACAACAACAACAACCACCACAACCACAACCACAACCACAACCACAACCACAACCACAACCACAACCACACCAGCAATAACAACAATAGCAACACCAACAACAACAATCAAATTAAGACTATTCGTTCGTACCTGCTCGCGTGCCATTCAACACGGTAGATCCCAAACCCTCGATACCCGCCCTCGTAGTCTTCGCTCGTACCCCCTGTAGGGGTGTGTATATATATATATACATATATACTAGAACCACGCGCGCGCTTCGCGCGCGCTTAGGTTCTAGGGCGGCACAGGCAGAGCATTCGTTTGACAGAACAGGGGATGAGAGGAGTTGCAAAGAGAATCACACCAGCTCCCTGTGCGTAGGTGGTTAAGCGCGTTTCCTTCCTCCACCCTTCCCTCTACCCCTTCGGGGAGGGTACCTCTGCCCCTAACGCGAGCGGTCAGATCGTCGAAGACGGCTCAAGACGGCTCCAAGGGGGCCTCAGAGAGCCCAAGATGAGCTCCGAGATTGCTCAAGATGGCTCAAGATGGCTCACAAGATGCTCAAAGAGGCCCCAAGACCGCCCCAAGGTGACTCCAAGCGGCCACGGAGCTTCCCAGGGAGGCCCCCCAAGAGGCCCCAAAACGGCGGGGCCCCATGGCCGCGACGCTGCAGTGTGATGCAAGGGCGCCCTTGAGCCCGAACAGCCATGACACTGAAAAAGGTGGGTGCAGAATGCGCGCGGCATCCTTTTTGAATATCCCTTGGGCTGGTTGCGCATCCCCTTGCTTTTTGCTTTGCAAGAGGACTGTCCTCGGGTCCTCCTGGGGCTGTCTGGGCCGTCATGTGTGTCGCGTGGAGGCCTCGTTTGGGCCTCGTGGGGGCCTCTTGGGGCCTCTTGGAGGCCTTCGGGGGGCCTCTTGGGCCCCTCTTGGGGGCCTCTTGGGGCGTCCTGGGGGCTTCTTGGGTTCTCATGGGGGCCTCTTCGGGCGGAGAGCTCGATTTTTCGGTTCGGGTTCCCTCTCTTGGGCCCCTCTTGGGGCCTTCTTGGGGCAGTCTTGGGCCGTCTTGGGCGGATCCGGGGCGGTCTTGGGGCTCTCTTGGGCAGTCTTGGGGCTCGCTTGGGGGCATCTTGGGCCGTCTTGGAGCAGTCTTGGGAGCCTCTCGGGCGGTCTTGGAGCCTCAGAAAGCGGAAACAGCGAGAAACCAAAAAACATAGAAAAAACACATGAAAAATCAACGATTTCAGCCTCCCGGGGCCGTCTTGGGAGGCCTCTTGGAGGCCTCTGGGGATTCTTGGGGGCGTCTTGGGTCGTCTGGAAGCCATCATGGGCGTCTTGGGCCGATCTTTCGGCGACTCTGGGCCCTCTTGGACCGTCTTGGAGCATTCTTGGGCCGTCTCGAGGGCCTCTTGGGCCGTCTTGGAGCCCCCGGGGGGGGGGGGGTAACACGGGCGTGACCCGGATGTATCCCAACCCTCATTGGTTGGGTGTTCGTTGTGTATGGAGGACTGTGGTCGCGTCCTTTTCCCGCCTCCCTCCTGCCTCCTGCCCGTCTTGCCTCGGGGGGGGGCTGCGATCTGTGAAGCTGTCGCCACATTCGAAGCCTGCCGGGGGGTCCAGCACAGTGACGTCCTACGCGGATTCAAATGGGACCTCGCCATCCCTGGGGGACTGCGATCTGTGCAACAGTCGCCACTTTCGAGGCCTGCTGGGGGGTCCAGCGGAGTGACGTCCTACGTGGATTCAAATGGGACCTCGCCATCCCTGGGGGGCTGCGATCTGTGCAACAGTCGCCACGTTCGAGGCCTGTTGGGGGGTGCAGCACAGTGACGTCCTACGCGGATTCAGCGCTATCCCTGGGGGCTGCGATCTGTGAGGCTGTCGCCATTTTCGAGGCCTGCTGGGGGGTCTAGCACAGTGACGTCTTACGCGGATCCAAATGGGACCTCGCAATCTCTGGGGGGCTGCGATCTGTGAAACCGTCGCCACTTTCGAGGCCTGCTGGAGGGTCTAGCACAGTGACGTCCTACGCGGATTCAAATGGGACCTCGCCATCCCTAGGGGGCTGAGATCTGCGAAACTGTCGCCATTTTCGGGGCCTGCTGGGGGGTCCAGCACAGCGACGTCCTACGCGGATTCACATGGGACCTCGCCATCCCTGGGGGGCTACGATCTGTGAAACTGTCGCCACTTTCGAGGCCTGCTGGGGGATCCCGCACAGTGACATCCTACGCGGATTCAAATGGGACCTCGCCATCCCTGGGGGCTGCGATTTGTGAAACTGTCGCCACTTTCGAAGGTCCAGCACAGTGACGTCCTACGCGGATTCAAATGGGACAGCGCTATCCCTGGGGGCTGCGATCTGTGAAACTGTCGCCACTTTCGAGGCCTGCCGGGGGGTCCAGCACAGTGACGTCTTACGCGGATCCAAATGAAACCTCGCCATCTCTGGGGGGCTGCGATCTGTGCAACAGTCGCCACCTTCGAGGCCTGCTGGGGGGTCCAGCAAGCGCAGTGACGTCCTACGCGGATTCAAATGGGACCTCGCCATCCCAGGGGGGCTGCGATCTGTGCAACAGTCGCCACTTTCGAGGCCTGCTGGGGGGTGCAGCACAGTGACGTCCTACGCGGATTCAAACGGGACCTCGCCATCCCTTGGGGGCTGCGATCCATGCAACAGTCGCCACGTTCGAAGCCTGTTGGGGGGCCCAGCACAGTGACATCCTACGCGGATTCAAAAGGGACAGCAGTATCCCTGGGGGCTGCGATCTGTGAAGCTGTCGCCACTTTCGAGGCCTGCTGGGGGGTCCAGCAGGGTGACGTCCTACGCGGATTCAAATGGGACCTCGCCATCCCTGGGGGGCTGCGATCTGTGCGACGATCGCCACTTTCGAGGCCTGCTGGGGGGTGCAGCACAGTGACGTCCTACGCGGATTCAAATGGGACAGCACTATCCCTGGGGGCTGCGATCTGTGAACCTGTCGCCACTTTCGAGGCCTGCTGGGGGGTCCAGCACAGTGACGTCCTACGCGGATCCAAATGGGACCTCGCCATCTCTGGGGGGCTGCGATCTGTGCAACAGTCGCCACTTTCGAGGCCTGTTGGGGGGTGCAGCACAGTGACGTCCTACGCGGATTCAAATGGGGCCTCGCCATCCCCGGGGGGCTGCGTCTGTGAGACGATCGCCACTTTCGAGGCCTGCTGGGGGGTCCAGCACAGCGACGTCCTACGCGGATTCAAATGGGACCTCGCCATCCCTGGGGGGCTGCGATCTGCGAAACGGTCGCCACTTTCGAGGCCTGCTGGGATGTCCAGCACAGTGACGTCCTACGCGGATTCAAATGGGACCTCGCCATCCCTGGGGGGCTGCGATCTGTGAAACTGTCGCCACTGTCGAAGGCTGCTGGGGGGTCCAGCACAGTGACGTCCTACGCGAATCCAAATGGAACCTCGCCATCCCTGGGGGGCTGCGATCTGTGAAACGTTTGCCACTGTCGAAGCCAGCATAGTGGGGCCCCACGGCGGATTCAATGGGACCTCCCAAATGCTGGTCGCAGAAATACATACGTCCATGTCTCGTCATCACCCCCTTTATGAAGTCGCCCAAGCTACTCATGATCCGCATTGCGCAAGGGTTGGGTACGTCGCCAGGGTAATTGTCTTACCTGCGGCGTGTATTTCGTGCAGCCTATAGGGCAGGGGAAGAGAGGACGGATAGAAGGAAGGGACCATGGGGAGGGAGGAGGATGGAGCACGAGAGAGACAAGCAGGAGAGGGGCTAGGAGCAGAAAGCGTGGCAGAAACAGACGGGCAGATCGGGCGGGTTGACCCTAGGCGGCCACGTCGAGCAGGCGGGATGCTGAAGCGTGCGTCCTGCATTAATCGCGAGGACGTCTCGAGCAATAGCGCGATTACCAAATAAATCCGCCGACCCTTTGCGGGTCTCTAGGCGTTTGGGATAGTTCCCCGCCATAATCTCCCCCCCGGGACCCCAAACCGACAATTCGACCCCCCCCCCTAGGGCCTGGTGCGACCCCGGACAATGCGCGCCAGAGGGGGGGGCCAAAATGAGCCAGGAAGGCACCAAGACGCCTCCCAGACGGCCCAAGAGAGCCACGAGTCGCCGAAATACCACTCCAAGACGCCGACGATGCTCTCCAGACAGCCTCCGATGCCCCCAAAACACCCCAAGAGGCCCCGAAGATGCGCCCCAAGAGAGCCTCACCCGACACGAAAATAGTCCCATTCCCTGCGTAAGACGTACATTTTAAATAATCTCGCCTGTCCGGCTCTCCGACCGCCCAGAGGGCCCCATGACTGCCCCAACACAGCCCACAAGAGCCTCACAGCGGGCTCCTTGACGGCCCA